GACTTTGAAACGTTACCATGGCAACTGCATTGGAAGTAACTTGGAAATTTGGTGTCTTTCTTTTGCCGCCACGCCCACACAGTTTAACTTAATCAGCTTCTTTTGATAACTTTACCGTCGTCTTGACAATGTAATCATCTGTAGGAATAAATATAGTTTTTTTTTATGTCAGGTCTGTCTGTTTTCCTCTTCCTGTCTGTCTGCTGTGTGGGGTAATCAGTTGTGATCACACTCACCTGTGTCTCTGTCACCAGTCTCACCTGGTTCCCTGGGTATGTATACACCTTTCTCTCTCACTCTTTGTGAGATCATTATTCTGTTTGTACTGTTCAAGTCAGTTCATGGTTGCTGTTTGTTTGCTGTTTATGCCCATATGCTGAAGAAGTCTATGTGTTGAAGTAGTGCATGCTTTGTGGAGAAGACCATGCCCATGACCTGCTGCACCTGCAGAGACTCTCCCCTCTGCTGCGTTTGGGTCCTGCCTGCTTTCTTTCATGCCAGTCTGTAAGATTTAATTTGTCTAACAATACTTTGACAGAAATAAAAAAGATACATACAGCCTTAGAAACAAGTCACTGTTCTCTGGATATACGAAATGGACACATGATGTGAATACTAACTATAAAGGCACTTGTGAATTTAAATTACACTTTCCCATTACACAAAAACCACAAATACTAACCCAACCTTTTTAGAGCCATGGGAAATATTTTCCAATAGAAAAAACCCAAGACACACAAGCAAACAAAACTGTCCCAAAAAAGTATATGCACTATGACTTTTTATTTACTCAATATTTAGGTATATTACTTAGTGTGAAACCTGGGTCTGTTTAGTTTAACACAATGGCAGGAATTGAAGAAAAACAGACGTGAAGACCTTCTTTAACAGCTCTGAAGTTGCTCTTGTTTTTATGCATCAATCTGCTGCCACCTAGTGGAAGAACAAATTATATTCAGTAAATAATAAAAATAATAGGTTTCAGAGCAATTAAGTGTAAGATGATATGGGAGGATATGCCTCTCCAGGTTGATGGCAGCTGTGATTTGTTTTTGTGTGATGTGGTCTTTATAGGTCCAGAGCAGTTTCATTATTCCCACTTGCAGGTTTTTTGGGCTGTTTACTCCTAACCCAAACAGTAGAATTGGCATCACAAACACTGATGGTTTCTGGAATCTCACAGTTCTACATGTTAGGCCATGACTTTGGTGTAGCATTTTGTTGAGAATGTGGTGAATGTGAACTTAATTATTTAAGGTTTCTTTTGCATGTTATTTTAATATATTATCCTTCAAACCACTGACTGCTGAGCATTAAATCCTCAATTTCAGAAAGCACTGTGACCATAACTCTTATGTGACATTAAAGAAGTGCATTAGTGTGCAGCTGCCAATCATATGTTTTCCTTTACAGGCCTCTTAATAATGCAATAATGCTGCGTCATTGGTGCGACGCTCCAATGAATAACAGGAAAAACTGTAGGTTTAAAAGAAGAGTTGAATGGATTTTTCTTAGACATTTACAATGTTTTACATGAAACGTTTTGAGATGTGTGCTGCAAAAAAAATTTCACTTATTTTTGTATTCTTTTTAACTAAGGGAACAAACTTCTAATGGTCCAAAACATATTTTAATCAAGCAATCATCAGTTGTAAATATGGTGATGGCTTTATTGGAACTGTCAAACATTAGAACAACTATGATTAAAAATAAATGTGTTTTTTAATGGTTTTGAATTACAGCAAGACGGTCTGACCATCCAGAGGTTTTTCTCTCTTTGTTTTTGGTCATGAAAAAGCTCTCAGTGTGAAGCCTCCCTCTTCTACTCCTCATTTATATTCCAAAAAAACTTTTCTTTTGCTTTTGAAAATAAAAACAATATATATATATATAAAAAGTGTTTCAAACTGAGTCATAGACACGTCTCCTGGCTGTTTGGGCCTCCTGGTGTGAACATCCACCAGAAGTGGATCCTTATTTGGTCTCTGGCCATTTGCTCACTCAACAGAAATTATTTTTTTTTATTTAATGGAATATGATCATTCTTTTTTAGACTCTCACCAAGATAGTGTTGAAGTAAAACTTTTTAGAAGTCATTTCTGTAACAGCCCACACACTGCATGTAACTGACCACAATATGGCTGCAACCCAAGGGTAAAATGTGATTGACAGGCTACAAGGTTAAATTCCAGGACAAAATTATCTTTGTCCACTATGTTAGCTCAAATTGAAATGAGGAGGGATGATTGTATGATATACTCTACTGTACCTGCATACTGCTGTATCAGGTTATACTATGTATAGAATACTGCACATTATATTCCTACTACATCTGTAGTCTGTTTTTTACACCACTGTGTTACAGTATGCGTACTAGAACTAGATGTACGCATACTGTACATCTAGTTCTAGTAGTGGTTATGTCTAATGGTTTGCTTATTTCTCTGGTCTTCAGTTTTGCAACAGTAGTTACAGGTGTGGTTACAACCTTTAAATCTCTGGAATTTTTTCCTCCCATCCTTCTTAACAGATCCGCCCCTGCTCCGTCAGCTTGGATGGGAAGAGTCTGCCAACATCAGAGTTCTGCAAAGATGTTTTCAGGATTTGAGGTCCGAGCTTTAGCTGAATCACTGAACGTCACCTGAGTCACCCGAGAGGCAAGTCTTTTTGTTTTTTTGTTTGTATTGAATGATCTCTCTGTGTTTGGTCCTTCCTCTGTCCCTGCTGCCCTAAGTCTCACCTGCCAACATTAAGGTGCCACAGTCCCTGCACTTCAGCTTCCATAGGTTGTTTTACATGGGTCATTGTCGAGTTGTCTTTAGAAGTGAAGTCCGTGGTGAAAGTGTTTGATGAGGTTGCTAATGAGTTTGCCTACAGACCCCTATTGTGTGATCGGTCCACTGCTGACCCCTGTTGTTTAAAAAGATATGATTTTATTCTGTCAGGAAAACATGTCTTTAACGTTAGGACCTCTGAATATTACCTGGACAGGACAGAATACAGAATGTTACTCCTGTTACACTTTTTCACAACATTATAGTTTGATAAATTAGATTAGTTTGATAAATGAAAAAATGAAATTCAAAATTAACATCAAACTAAATAGGAATTTTGTTACACATAAAATGTAGGATATGTCTCAAAATAAGAATGTAGTTTATGCGAAGAATACGTTTGATTACAATTGGAATTAGAGAAGTGAAATTGTGACCTACCTTTCAGTAGACATTAGTACAGACCTTAAGACAATGCACTTTTGAATTTGCATAAAATGACGTAATGGACCAGATTCGGCCTGCGGGCTTTGAGTTTGACACGTGTTTTGGGTTCTAGCATTACAGAGTCAAATTTTTTTCTGTTGGGTAAGAAAATATGCCATAATCATGTTTTGTAGACAGTTTTATTTCCCAATATCATGAGAAATACCCAAAATAAAACAAAACCCACACACAGAGCCCAGCAGACACCACAGCACAGAGCAGAGTTCTTTTAAAGTAGGACAAGAGAGCACAAGGAGCCCCTTTTATATTATGCAGGCAGTTCTCAGACCCAGGCAATAGTGTACAGAGAACCCAGGGGACCTTATTACAA